TTAAGACGTTCTAAAACGAATGTATTTTAATGGCATAATGGTCGAATAATTACAAAGTATACAATTAAACGAAAAAGGACTAAGAATTTCAATTACAAGGTGGATCGTACTCGTGCTCCGCTTAACATCAGAGGTAGGCATTTTCCATGTCAAAATACTATAGAACCAAAAGAATATTTGGGTTGATTTTACAGAAAATATCAGATACTGCTTTTTGATTGAGCACAAAATAAGATTGAGGCCTGGATTGAGGAAAGTCGTTGAACAGCATTTGTGGAACCACCAAAATTGTTCTCATTTCATCCCCTCTACGACTTGCACCCAATTATTTAAAAAACCACTACATTCATTTCGCCTTATCCTGTCTTTTTAAAGGGACACCTCTGCCTCACACCCTTTCAAGTTCCATCCAATCCGTTCTGTTGCTGAATGGTGATAAGCCTTATATTCTTACAGGTTACCCCTTTTTAATTTTAACTGTCCATCAATCTTTCCCACAGAACACAGTCAATGCCTTTACGAGATGAACGAAACCGAAACGCAGATTCGTTCCTTTTTCCAGAAATCTTTCGTCTATTATTGTTGTTCCACATCCAATCGAATCTCTTGTTCCCCTCCCTCTTCTAAATCCGAACTGCATTTCTTTCACATTTTCTTCCATTATCCTTCTGTTTAACAAGCTCAACAATCTTTTCGCCGCATGTCCTACCAGGCTGATTGTTCTATGTTTACCACACTTCTCTGTTCCTGTGTTTTTAGCCAGTGCCATCATCTGAGTCTTCAGGAAATTTTCAGACCATTCCCGATTCATATATAGAGGTGTTAATTCCTTCATTCCTTCTTTCTGAGGGTACGTTAATATTTCTACTGGAATTTCATCTATTCCCCGTAGCTTTAGCTTTACCTGATCTCATATCGTTCATTACCCTTTCCACTTTGGTAAGTATAATGCGGGCTCCTATATTGTCAGGACAGTCCAGCAGCTTTGGTTTTTCATTGGTTTTATACCATACCATACCATTTGGAAGTGCTTTCCAAATTGCTCGTAATTTTTAAGACATTATAGAAATGTTTCGTACGGCGCTTCCATGGTTTGTGAGTTTCTAGTCTATACGCACCCAAATTAATAAGAAAAAGTGTTTTCCCGAGAAATTTTGGTGTAGTCGATTTTTGGTAAAAAAGGAAGGTTATACACTGCCTACTTTGAGCCCCGAAAAAAAAAATTGTCTCAGATCGACCCGGAAAAAAAATTTTCTTATAGAATGTGGCCTGTAGAATCCATAATTTCAAACAGTTCCAAGATTGGGCTACTAGTTCAAAAGTTACAGCCCTTTGAATTTTTTTTCGAAATGGTTTCTAGTCTATAACTTTTGATTGAGAAGTCTGATCGAAAAAGTACGAATTGATTTGGATTCTACGCACCCAAATTAATAAGAAAAAGTGTTTTCCCGAGAAATTTCGGTGTAGTCGATTTTTGGTAAAAAAGGAAGGTTATACACTGCCTTTTTTTGAGCCCGAAAAAAAATTGTCTCAGATCGACCCGGAAAAAATTTTCTTATAGAATGTGCCTGTAGAATCCATAATTTCAAACAGTTCCAAGATTGGGCTACTAGTTCAAAAGTTACAGCCCTTTGAATTTTTTTTCGAAATTGGTGTCTAGTCTATAACTTTTGATTGAGAAGTCTGATCGAAAAAGTACGAATTGATTTGGATTCTACGCACCCAAATTAATAAGAAAAAGTGTTTTCCCGAGAAATTTCGGTGTAGTCGATTTTTGGTAAAAAAGGAAGGTTATACACTGCCTTTTTTTGAGCCCCGAAAAAAAAATTGTCTCAGATCGACCCGGAAAAAAATTTTGTTATAGAATGTGGCCTGTAGAATCCATAATTTCAAACAGTTCCAAGATTGGGCTACTAGTTCAAAAGTTACAGCCCTTTGAATTTGTTTCTAGTCTATAACTTTTGATTGAGAAGTCTGATCGAAAAAGTACAAATTGATTTGGATTCTACGCACCCAAATTAATAAGAAAAAGTGTTTTCCCGAGAAATTTTGGTGCAGTCGATTTTTGGTAAAAAAGGAAGGTTATACACTGCCTTTCTTTGAGCCCCGAAAAAAAAATTGTCTCAGATCGACCCGGAAAAAAATTTTCTTATAGAATGTGGCCTGTAGAATCCATAATTTCAAACAGGTCCAAGATTGGGCTACTAGTTCAAAAGTTACAGCCCTTTGAATTTTTTTTCGAAATTGGTTTCTAGTCTATAACTTTTAATTGAGAAGTCTGATCGAAAAAGTACGAATTGATTTGGATTCTACGCACCCAAATTAATAAGAAAAAGTGTTTTCCCGAGAAATTTTGGTGTAGTCAATTTTTGGTAAAAAGGAAGGTTATACACTGCCTTTTTTTGAGCCCCGAAAAAAAATTGTCTCAGATCGACCCGGAAAAAATTTTTCTTATAGAATGTGACCTGTAGAATCCATAATTTCAAACAGTTCCAAGATTGGGCTACTAGTTCAAAAGTTACAGCCCTTTGAATTTTTTTTCGAAATTGGTTTCTGTTGTGACTTTAGATTTTCTGCGAAAAGCCGCTTCTCTATGGAAATGCGCATGTTAAGAAAAAAATGGATAACTTTTTTATTTTGTGATTAATATTGATGCAAATTGAATCCTAAATGGATGGAAACGCTACTTCAGATACATGCAATGCAAGAAGTAGAAACTCCTCTTTAACATTTTTAACAAGTTTCTTTCTCCTAAACGTACCATGAATTCTTGTAAGCGATTTTTGAAAAATATCTTTAAGATTCTGATTTTGCAGAAGGGATTTGTTGGAATATTGCTAATAGAACTATTAAATTGTTTAGACTCTGGAAGACGGCTTTAAAGAAGATCCTTTAGAATATTGCGTACATTCCCATTCTCGAAACGATTTTCAAGAAGATTTTTAGTAAAATCCCTAGGCATGCTTGCAAAAAGATTGCGAGAAAAACGTCTAAGGTCCTAGTAAGCAGTGGCGAATGATCTTAAGAAAATGTCTATGAAAGATTCCTAGGATGATTATGAATTATGAATAAATAAAATAATTTCACTTCATAAACTTGCGAAGATTAATTTTTATTGAAGCTTTCACAATAGTAAAGATGGGTCGAGAGTAAAACTTCACAAAAGTTAAATTACATTCAAGTACTTTCAAAAACTTTGTTTTAAGATAAGGAAAACAATTCTGACTAGGATGACAAATTGACCCCTGATGATCGTTGCGTCAACATAAAACCTTATCGAACATTTTACATTTTGTATTAACATAAGTCATAAAATGTTTCAATCTCACCCTTTATATCCAGTTGATTTATTTCTTTTGCTGCCGCTATTATTTTAAATATTGTTAGTATATTATGCAGCAATGACACGTGTGTGGCAGTTCCAGAATAGTAATATATAATGGCAATATTTCAACATATTATTTACTCCTTGCGTTCTTTTTAGTAAAATCCCTAGGCATGCTTGTAAAAGGTGATGCAAGTGAACAGGTCCTTCCTCGGGCCCTTCTTACCGGACACTGTTTAGAATAAAGGTGACGCTCCGAATCAAAAATTGGAAATTTCTTATACATTTCCTTTTATTATCTCGGCTCGCTTTTAATGACCAAAATATGTACACAATTACCTACTTACTGTAGAACTTCTTCTTTTTAAATGTCCATCAAATTTTGGACAGTTAGTTGAACAATTTGCATGCCAAATCAAAGAACGTTTTGAATAGATTGATTTTTTTTTACTATACTCTCTCTTTCCAATCATTTCCTTTTTACGCAAAAGTCAGAACCTGTCATTTCAACAACAAAAGCAAAAGTGATAGTTTCTCCATACCGATGGGTACCATCGCGCGCAGAGTCACCCAAATCAAGATTACATCCAATGAAACAACGGGACACAACAACATAAAGATATTTTCAAAAACCTTCATTAAAGTATCCCTAGAGGTGAAGCAGTGGTAAAGGGATCAACTATGAACGTAAAATTTTCGGATCAAATACTCATATTCCAAAACGAAACCTCAATACGAGTTTTAATTTATTGTGTGTTTAACCAATCATAGCATCACAATGTCGTTACTAAAGTCAACGACTACCTATATCTTGGTTACACTATACCAACTGTTCTGTGAAGAGCTGTTTGCTTTGAGTATATACAAAGAGTCTTAGATGGAAAGAAAGAAAAATTTCGAATACGTTTTATAACAAGAAGTTGTAAGCCTACTATCAGTGAGTTGTAACATTATATTATTATACATAATGAGTTACAAAACTCGCCTCTCCAGCTCTTTGGTAACTTACTTTCACCCTCTCATATCGCGCTACTATGCCTTGTAGTCTAAAATCGTCGCAAAGGGATGTCATTACGAATATTATGGAAACTGGAAGCGAATATGGTAAGGTAAATTAAATATAGAAGCGAGTGATATTTAAGAAACAAGTTTGCTACGGAAACGGAACGCTGGGGAAGTTTTACCATATAAGCTAGAGCTCAAATTCAACCCCACGTCGTTATCATAAAGTAAACACGCGTCTTGTGTTACGTGCACTGTCTGCTACACGTAGATTCATTTTCCTAGCATGAGAGCGACTAACTAGTAGGTTTCAGTATGGCAAAACCGAATAATATGTATAAGTATCTCTCTAAATCGATTCTAAAAACAGAAATAAGGATTAGGGAGATATTTCGCAAAATCCGCTTTACCAACTTCATTTTAAAAGAAACGGCTCGGATTTTACACCGCTTTCAATTTTAATCTTTTACGATCCATGTATTTAGATGAAGGATATTTTTGTCTTCCCGAAACTAAATGAATAACTCCAAAAACGGGGGAGTGCTAAACGGAATGCGCGCCAGCGATTTCTCCGCGACTTAATTTTATATACACCTACTTTCGTTTCCCTTCCCGTTTTATTCAAATTACGCCCGAAATTTGCAACGGAAAACAGTAAAACGTGTTTACTCACCTACTACGGAAAGATGCATTGGGATCCCTATGGGTGGCGTTGTTCCTACTTGACACTCATATACACCCGAATCCCTTCGTTGGGGATAACGTATTTGTAATGTCCACTCTTCTGTTTGTGGATTGTGTATACTTGTAAACCTTTGATCAGACGTGTAAGTCATTCGGCCTACTGTCAGTAAGTGTAGATCTCGATGTCTTATCCACGATACCTGGAACAATGGAGAAGAACGTTGATTATAGTGCTATCTACAGTGGAAGTAACGGTCAGAATTTCCGCAGCATCGATTTACATAAAAACTCAATGGTGCAATTTATTCTCTTAATTCTCTCTAAACACCGTTAGCGTTAAGGGAGATTGATTTACTACAAATGTCTTTCACAATACTAATCAAGTGAAAAGTTTGTAGAAACATTCTTCATTTTATAATATGCGTTTTCCAAATAAAAGAACGCATGTATTAGATTCAAAGAAACAGTTGACAGCTGAAATAATTCATAAAGCAGTTTGAATTATTATAAAATCGGATTTCTAAACTTTTCCACGACTAAGAGGTTTTTTTATCAGAACCTGCAGACACGGTAAAATGTACGCAAACGATGACATTTTCTAAAGGGTTCCAGTGTATCAAAGAAATTATTGTTTTGATAATGAAATATTTATGATCATCCTCATTTATACATTTTTTAAATTACCGTATCTTATAAAGACTAGAAAATTGAAAAATAGACTTTTATTATTTTTAACAGTTCGAAATGACGAGTAGAACACGTTAATATTTAAAACTATTACGATAATAACGTTAAATAGACGTTAGATGAACTAACTGAATGTCGATGTTTCTACCACATTAAACACTTGAACAGGCACCATGCCTTAAGCAACAACATCATTACCTTTACTCGAACCTGGATTTAGCTGTACCCCTAGTACTCGACAAATGTCACCACGTTTTTCTATTCATGTGATGGAAACTCCCAATTCTCCTTGTTTTAATTGTCAAAGATTAGGCCATAATCGAGTTGATTGCCCGGAACCAATTACCGTTTAAAGGATCGCACTATTCTTTTGGATTTATTGGTGCTGCATAATTTAGTGACTAATTTAATTCTGGGAGCAGTTTAATAAGTAGAATGTTCAAAAAAATTGACCGTTTTGGAGTTATAGGGGAAAAACTGAAACAATTCAAAAATTTCGCCCACCAGAAGTTAACCCCGGTGTCGAGTTGGCAAACTTGGATTCATATCCATACTACCATTTGACGTATAAAAATAAAATCCTTACCGACAATAATTTACGCAAGGTGCATCTCCTCTTACAATTCACCTATAACTGAGTGCCACCCTGTACTACCATAATCGATAAATTTTAAACCTTCTAAAGATGAGGCTTGTTCGGACCTATCATCGCAATGCAACACAAATTATTACAAAATCGAACTAGACTGTACTAGACACCAAACGTTGTCTTTGACCAGAACTTACTAAAACAAAGTCAGTTCTGACCCTGGTTCTAGCATACCGCAGACTCTCTTAATATTTACTACACACGGTTTTTTAAAATCCATTTTTCTGGATAATTTTGTGAACCTTGAGTTTTTTTGGGAATAGAATTGACACGAGGGGGTGGGACTTGGGCATTTTACGATCTACATTTCGGGAGTCGGTCAATTCGACCACCAGATCCATAGGAGGGAGAGATATATTCAACATTTTTAAATCATCTTCAGATATTTATGAAATGACCGTTCTTAACGTTTGTCTCGTGCAGAAACAATGAGTTAGAGCTGGTTCCCATTTTACAGAACCTTGCATACATGATGAGTTCTAGATCTCCTCAAATTAACATTTCCTGTGTCTCTTTTTAACCCTTGTTCCTCTGCGCTCATTTTCATTTATTTTATATAATTAAAAATCTATTATTGGTGAATACATACTTATTACTTATTAATATTAAGACGATAAAGGGATATTTTCACCATTTAGTGAATTAATTTTCACAAGATGGTTAGTTTCTCTTTATCGTGGTATATAATACAAAACTTTATTTTATAGCAGAAGCCATATAAATCATTGACAAGCGTCTGACAATTCTACATTTAATTTAGCCGTCAAAAATAGCAAGCTCAGGTTCTGCCGTCGCGGTCGTTTTCATAGAAACAGCATTTTCATATGTTCTGAACGTGATTTTATATCGTGATCCGCGTCCCATTTGAAATAAGAATGACGGATGTCATTAGAATGCACAATCATGTGATTTTATCTACCCTTGCGGTTAAAGCGATTTAGCCTGCTCATTCAAACCTATTAAAATGTAAATTTAACATGTGCTATACAACAAAGAGTATACATAGCGGTATAAATACAGCAAATTTTCAAAATAACCAGTGCACAATTTGAAAGCGCTTATCGTAAATACTTTCCAAAGTACTAATGAACGCGTTCCTATAAAAGCGTTTCGAAACACTTTCGCTCAGAAACAACATACTGTTTAAGAACAGATTTGAATTTTATTCCAAACATTCTATTAAACAAAAGTTTTAAGTAGGATGTTATGAAAATGAAAAGATTCAAAAGGAAATAAGAGCAGAAAATTTCCAGCTTTTGACGAATATTACGAAACTTTAGTAAATGAGTTGTGTTGTACCAGTATCATTTATTTTACATCTCTCTGCGTTGCAAAAATTGTTTTCTTTTTACTTCCTTGTGTAGAAATGTGAGATAAAGTTATGTGTCCCTGCGGTGCAGCATTAGCACGCGAAAATCTTTTGTTTACGAATTTACTTATTCAAACTTATGACTTAATTTTTTAAAACTGGTACAATTTACAAAATTTTCGCATTCTCACGCGCAGTTTTCTTAGGCATATACCTTCGGGGTGATCATGGGATAAGTGGCTACTAACGCTTCAAAAGCATGACCGATTTATTGGCGACTTTTTAACATAAATTTAGTGCAGCTTCGAATACAATCGGACACGACCATGTCTAGTCTTTTTTGTTTCAACCGTTGCATTTCCCTGCGCTATTACTGCCAATCTAGAGAGTTGCATCTTTTTTTTTATGCGGAATAAAGCGCACGAGCGCTCATACGGTAGCAAATTACATAATAAATTTGTCGAAGTTTACTATATACCACCTGACCATTGATGCCATGAAAAATGAACCCCCCCCCGCAAACTTCAGGACCTCTTTCATCAACAGACTCAGAAACAGAATCATACAGGATTACTTTTGGCATATAGGAAAAGGGACAATCGAAAGTTTTAAATACGGTGGTGCGTGAACAACGTAATATGTACAGTCAATGAATTCGAAACCATTGTATGGACTAATGACATGATTTTATCAGCATAACAAATTGTTATTATGTAAATATAATGTTACACATTTGTTAACGTATTGTATATAAATCCATATAGTTTTAATAAAGATAATAATAATAATAATAAAACACGAAATTGTGTCTCTTAGACCGCAAAGTTGTAAAAGAAGTTTTCTATATATTCAATAATCAGTGCAATAGACAATTTTTGTTCTTCCAATGCTACAAATGTCTTCTTATCAGTTTACATTCTCACAACGTCTTCTATCTCATTCCGTAAAAATCCAATACGGCGTTCATAAGAAAGTAGTCCCCATTCCTTCTACATCTGGCTTGTAATGTAAATGAAAATAGATTCAGATTCTCCGAAAAAAGGACTCATAGAAGGCGCTAACTGTTCAGTTTGATATCTCAATTATTTACCAAGATTTTTCAAAAATTTTAAATGCATTTTTTAGTCACAAAAAGGGGCAACCAAGGCAACTTACTCTGTACCGTTCGCCGTTAGGGAGATTCCAATGACACTTATAAATTTGGGGTTCTGTCGCTACGATTCCAAAATCTGTCATCCTACGTTGTGTGCTAATCACATACTTAATATACAGTGCGTTCGAATAAGAAGGTCGCCTCAATATCCCTTTTATTTGGATAGATACGACAAATTTGTCAAATATAATTTTATATGCGACATTAGGACCTATCCGATCTCGTATTGAAACTTCTGGTATCACTTACTGATTTAACCGGAAATCGATGCAACTTGTGTGTTGTTTTCTTAAGACATTTGAAAATGACAACATAAAATATGTATATTCTTCATATACAACAAAAATGACGAAATAATGATTCAATATTTTGATTATGCAATCTAGAATGCCATGTGTTGTCAGGGTGCTCGGTTTCTGTTGTGATACACGGGTAGGTCGTATCTTGCAAAAATACATCTTCAAAACGAATCATTTCTTCCGATACTTCAGTTTTTTGGGAATTCTTAAATTTCTTCATATTCACTACATTCTTCACATTAATTAACAAAACAAGAAATTGGTAATTTCCAAGAAAATGTGTTTTGGCGAGTTATAAATAATAAAGTTTAAAGCAACGTATAACTTTTCTATTGTGTTCTTCCTATCTGTGTAGTGTGTACGTTATGGACCCATTTTATACTGCATGTGCAAATTTTGTGTAGGCAATATCATTGAAAGGATTCTGGTTCTGACGTTAGCATTAAAGGTAGATGTATTTATACGTGTACATGCTTAAAAGGTTTCCGTATTTCAATTTTTATCCTTCCCCAACATTCCTGATCCTTCATAATAGCTAAAACAGTAGTTTGTAGCCCCGAACTGGTCTAAGCTTTCCAAGCACGAATTCAATGTTTACGAATTAGACGCTTGCCTCCGATACTCATCGCAGAATCATGCAATACTGCATTGTAATGTTAAATCATTATGTAAAACGGCCAACTTTAGCGTTAATTTTAATATCTGACTTTAAGGTACAAAACGTGCTTAAATATTTACATGCGTGATATTTTTTTCTGCACCGCCAATTAGAACACAATAATATCAATATAAAATTGCGAACTTTCAACAACTGTGGCAAATCTAAAAACAAAAAAAAAATGGAAATAGAGGGAGTAATGTACTTTGATCACCGCTCATGTTTTATTCCGTCTCACACACTCGCCATATTTGCAAAACGAGAATTGCATATGACAAGACCGCATTTTATCGATAAAGTAAGTCAAAAGGGCTTATAAGTATTCAATTTGAGATAAATGCGATGACTTTAAAATGATAATATCTCCAAATCGGCTTAAGCTGATGCTTAATTCATAAAAGAACTTCTATGTCTCTTATGTAAAATAAGTAGCTAGCCGAGATAC